CTTCCGATCTCCCCCCTCTTTCCTACTCCGCTTGGTCCCCTAGACGTTCAAATATTCACCGTCGCCTACTAGTCTTTAACTTTTTAATCGACTTTTGCCTAACGGAGCAGATCCCACGTTCATTCGGCTAAATGTATGGCGGGTTTTTATTTCATTAATGGAGAAATAAAAATAGAATAAAACTTCCTAAAAGTTCTCCGCCCCTCACCTTTCTCCCCCTCCCCTCCTTCCCAGGGCATAGCTGTGTTTAAAAGAAAAAAAAAAAATATAATAAAAATATGGGTGTCCTAGTTGATCGAGATTAATTCATAAAAAAAAAAAAAAATCTTCGGAGCGATTCATTAGATGCTCTGTAATCGGAAGCCTCGGCTTATTTCGAGGTGGGGAGGGTGGGATTTACTGGGATCACCCCATAAATAATAGGGAGGGAGGAGGAGGGGGAGGCGCACGGAGCCGCCGCGGTTTGGGGGAGACCCCAGTTAGCAGGAGATGCACCATGGAAGCGCTTGCCAAAGGCGCCTCCCTCCCCACCCCCCCCCCTGCCCACTTCCAACCTGATTTTAAGCAACTTGCACTCCGGCGATCTCCCCGATCGCTCTTTCCCTAAAAGCTAGTGCCCCCGAAAAGGGTAAAAAAAAAAGGCAGAAGCCGGGGGAAAACCCAGCCGAGGCGATGCTTTTTTGGACGAGGTGGTTGCAAGCGAGCAAGAGCAGCAGCAGCACCAGCTCTGGTTCTCAAACTGCCTTGTGCATGCACACAGGCACTGAGAGCATCTCAGGCAGGAGTTGGGGAAAGCTGCATATTTATATATATTTTTTTTTTTTACCCCCCTTCTCTTTTGCAGTAATTACCAGCCCGGATTCCCTGGGCAAGAAATAAATAGCAAAGAGAAATCCTCTCTCCTTGCCGCCCCCCCCCCCTTCCCCACACCACACCACCCCCCCCCCCCCCCAAAAAAAAAAAAAAAAGGAAAAAAAGGAGCGATTAAGAGCAGATCTGTCCGTGCAGATCAGCCTCGTGAAAAGAGACAAGATCTCAGCAGCAAGTTGGTAGCAGAGTGGCCGCTTGACGCAACACAGGGGCCTATGGTTCACCCGGCTTTAAAATTAAAAAAAAAAAAAAAAAAAAAAAGAGGGGGGGGGGGGGTTTGCCCGGGCTAATGTCTCAA